AAAAAAAAAAAAAAAAAAAGGCTGACCAGACCAATACTATGAGTTTGCACTACTTCTCCGTCTTATTTAAAGATACGTGATATTGTTTTATCTGTGTAATAGTACTAAATGGGTCTATAAAATCGCTAAAATTACATAAATATACATGAAAGGCCAGCACCATATCCAGCTTTGCCTACAACATGAAAACAATGGAATGGACCAGACACTTAATAAAAAATTGTTCATTCACTATTTTCCGGTTAGATAAGCCTAAATATGGACAATTTGTTTTCAACCACATGAAAGAACAGACAGGATCATGACAAAATGACATAGAAATCCAATGACAAGTGATGACGCATGTTAATTTATTACAAAACACATTGACACTGACAATATTTTAAAATACCTCTATTTTCCTGTGGCGTTCTAGTGTTTGCTTTCTCTTCACAGTGATTCAATATGAACAAAATGTTGAAATAGTTACTACTGCAGAACCACTGAGCTTTACAAAAAGGAAACAAACAAAAAAGCACAGACATTTACAATCATTTGACTTCAACCCACACAAATACCAGAACAATAATATGAATAAACATCCGCAAATTGAGTAAAAAATAGATTTTAATCTTTTAAATACAACATTTTGGAATACAAATATTGTTTTGTTCTTTACTGTAGTTCTTATTATTACTATTGACTGTTATCACTAGTGTTACTGTTGAGGTTTGATTTACAGTATATCAATATACAGAAAAATGTGAAAACAAACATTTTGGTAAATTCTGGTATTGCTTGCTCATTTACATAAATATACACAGACACACAAAAAACACCTAGCCATGAATTTAATTTATCTCTCAATCATATGTTATGTTCCAAGTCTGACAGACAAAATGGCTTTATATAATGCTTACCATTATGAAAACACTACTGTAATATCATCAATATATTAGAGTTATTATTGACACAAACATTGACATATTTTACAGCGGTCTTTGAATGGACCCACTCATTCATGGTTATGTACACAGTCCATGACATCCCAGTAACCACTTAGGAGAGACATTAACTTCTTGTGTATAAAAGAAAAAAAAAAGCATTTTTCATTTTTGATAAATGCATATAGATTGAATCAAAAAAATTAAAGTTAATATCCCATAAATTCCCTTAACTGGCATAATTTTAAGAAAAAATAGAGAATGTTTTGCAATGATAAACACATATTAGTGCCTGAAATCTGCAATACTATATTGAGTGAAAATGAACACAAGAATATAACGTCCACTGGCTTTCATATGTCTTAAAGTTAGTACTTTAATCACAAAAGGATAAATCTAAAAAACAATTCAATACAAAACAGACATTTCATAACAATCTCCCAAATGAATTGCTTTATTTCAATACCAAACCTGAGGCCAAGCTTCATAGTCTATATGGAAAACCAAAACCTAAACTCATACCATGAGCACAAAACGAGCAACAGAAACTCGTATGATCTCCCAAAACACATCCCCTCAGTATCCTGCACTAAAAACATCTGCAGACCCAGATTAATCCTAATGTTGAGCAGAAATCGGCGTTTGGTATCGGGGCATTTTAACGAGTACGAGTACGAGTACAGGAGACCAGTATCGGTATCGGTGCATCCCTATTATAAATATCAACCTTGGAAGATTCTTTCCCTCTGCGTCTGTGACGGGTATCTGCAGCGAACCCCTTTCAGAGCGCTCATACAATCATTGCTGCGAACAGCATACACTCTAAAAAATGCTGGGTTAAATTCAACCCAGTGCTGGGTAAAATAGGGACAAACCCAGCAATTGGGCTGTTTTTACCCAGCGGTTGGGTTAAATGTTTAACCCAACCTTCTGGGTAGTAACCCAACCGCTGGGTCAAAACAACCCAATTGCTGGGTTTGTCCCTATTTTACCCAGCACTGGATTGTATTTAACCCAGCATTTTTTAGAGTGTACAGTGAAAATCACCCTGAAGATGTGGCGTCACCTCCCAGGTCTAACTCTGTACAATAGTGCTTTTCATTTTTAGTACTTAAATTGGTAAAGAGGCCAAAATGGCAACTGGCTTTACTGCCTCCTGTTTTCACATGTGTAGAATAAACAAAAAAGGTAGAGGAGTTGTAGCACTCTGAACGGAGTATGATTGCATATAATACCAGACGAGCGTCTGCAAACAAACAACTATGAGGAGATCACGCAAACACATCCTAAAACAACCAAACGACGAGTCTCGAAGCGACGGCTCGGGATGAGCCCAAATCGTGAGGCTTTCCAATTTGCATTTAAATGTTGCTCTGCACCACAGAGGCTTTCAGTTTGAATATCACAGAATGAACCTGCGACTGTCCGGCTG